ATGTGGAATTTATTTGTGTATTAATTTGTGTAATTCTGGCCAAAATCGGAATAGTTACACTTGTTGATCATTTTTTTAAAAAATTGTCATTTTTTTTGACCACTGTATATTATATAACAAAAAAATTAAATCAAGAAATAGACTTGTCACTCTTGAACTATTTTCATTCATTACAATCATCATCAAATAAAAAGAGATACGATAGTACGTATATAGTATATATGTATATGGTGTGAAGGATAGATTTAGTTTACTAGGACAACTAGAGCTAGTATAGAAGACTTTCTTCGATAACAAAATCCGTTTCGGTTAACTTTTTTTACTAGATCATAATTTTTATCGGGACACGAGCAAAACGATAGGGACAGATTTCCTGGAACAAAAAATCAAGGTATATGAATAAGTCTCACTTCTTCTAACACGCTCAATACAAGCAAAAAACGCTGACAGATGGTAGAAACACAACAAATCCATAATATTAATTTATTATTTACATTCAATTATGATATAACAAAGCAAGTTCTTTTTACATTACTGTATCAATCAATTAAAGCAAAGCAACGTTAAGAATTTTGATTGTATAGTATTGAGTTCGATTCACATTCAAATATATAAGTCGGGATTTATAAGGACTGATTTGAGAAAGTTACGCATTAACAATATCCAATATTGCTTGAACTGTAGTTTTTGTGTATGTAACATTTAAGTTTTCTAGATTTTCTATATTAGAGAGAAAGGTTTTGCCCAATAGACTGTAGTTCTTTGCTGCGTCATCAGCAAGTTTTAAAATTTTAGCCAAGTGTTTCAAGGGAGTAATCCTTTCTCCTGACAAAATGAACTGCTTAAAAGTATCTAATTTATTGATCTTCTCAATAAAATTTACATAATAATTACTCAGATATTTAGTGGTTATTTTCTAAATCGTGACACTTGAAAAATGACTAGATGGTCTTTTTTTTCACGATATTTAAAGAATAAGGTCTTTTCAAAGGTCATTGCCAACAATGGTCCCGAGTATGTGGCGTGAAACAAAAAAAAAACATGATACCTTCGGTGTTGTCCTAAACATAAACTACAATACATAGTTTAAGTGTGTGTCATGGAATATAACACCTGTATTTAGCCAGCAAAAAAATGAACCCATAACAGCACTACCCATAGTTTTCAATAAAAGTAAGCGAGAATAATTGATGATTTATTAAATAAATACATTAAAGAAGAAAAAAATTGTTGGTTTTATTCGTGAGCCAATGTATATGATACATTGAATTTTATTTCCTGTTAAATTTAAGAGGGTATTTTTAATAAAAGAATTGATTTTTCCTCTCTTATGGTAGAAAGATGAATATGAAAACTAAAAAAAATGTCCACTAACCGTAAATTTCATTTCATTTCATCTGCCCGCATTCTGACCGACTCTCTCATTGCTGAGGAAGGCCATAGTAACAAATAAAGCGATTGATATCAAAATTATGGGAACTATGGGAACTACAAAGTTGGACCACTTCTTGAGTCTCTTCACACCAAAGGTATTGCTGAAGCAAAATTGAATAAAGTAGTAAGAGTCAAATGCGAGAATAAAATACTTTTCATTTATCAATTTATCCATCATTTCGTGTGACAAATTTCCATGAATTTTACCAACGTATTTGGATATATGCCAAAAGGGGGGTCGCGCAAAGTTGAAATAGCCAGATGAATTCTGCTACCTTATACCTAATGTTCTAGGCCAAAAGTTGCAAAACATGGAGTGATTTTTTACTAAGGTATTATATTGTAGATAGAACGAACTGTAGCATCGATATTCGCGTTATAAAAATTTCGCGAAAATTTTTGGCACGATTTTTTCACGTTCGTTTTTCTTTAAACTGGAATAACTCTACGACACATACTATTTTGTAGCTAAGAACGAAGCCGTTTTATCTATCATAGAAATACTTTAGTAGAAAATCGCAAATCGCGAGCGAAGTCGAAAAAATGTAAAAAAAGTACTAAACTTCTAAAAATAGCAAATATTACACGGATGCAAAGATTTCGTTTTGATAGATCTATGATTATTTTTTGATATAACAAGTTTTCATGTGACAAAATAGTAACATTTTTGATGCATCTATTAATAAACCGGATATTAAAACCACGTGCTAAATCAATAATTAGTCACACACGTTACTTAAAGTATCAAAAAATAATCTATTATATTAGAGTTACACAAAGGTTGATTTACTATGAGAATACATTTTAGGGGGTATTTTGCCTGCGGATACTTTTTACGATATTTCATTAACTTTTGGAATGAGAATTTTTATTATATAATAAACTGTGAAAAAAATTGATCAATTTACTGTTTTGAATAATTGCGATGGACTCGAATGTTATCATGCTGAAGAAATTTTGAAAAACTCCGATCTAATATGATTACTGATGTAGTTCAGCAATATTGGACATTGCAGATTAATCAAATAAGAATAAATGTTATCAAAATGAATTGTAAAATAATCTTTTTATGAAAAACACTACATAACTAACTCAGAAAAATAAAAAGTTGAATTCTGTTTTCAATAAAATTCATAGAAGCATTTCAATTCGTTGATTTTCTTTAATTTCACATTAAAGGTTAAGCGCGATGAACAAGCAAAGTTTACTAGATTAAATAAAATGGTTAAAAGGTGTTAAAATTAAAAATACTACTCTTTTTCTTTGTATTAATAAAAGGGATTCAGTTGTAACTTCTATAAGTTTCTAAAATAAAATTCTACACGTGATCACAGACTATATAATTTTGAATTTATTTGATTTTTTTTTAAATTCAACAATAAAATCAAACAGATAATGTGTGTAAAATTTTTTTCTGTAAATATCAAATTTCAAGTCTTTATTACTTTGAAATATATTACCAATTGGTTCTTAATCGGAGTTAAGAACCAGTTCATTGTTACTACAATCATATCTAATTTTTATTTTAATTTAGAATGTTTATTATTATATAATGCATACAATATATTATGTCACCTAATGATAATGCATATTCATGCCTACTAAAGACGCAATCAATAACTTTCTCATTGAGAGAAATATTATTATAGCGGAATTCAACTTTAATCTTATCAAGTAGACCTGTAGACGATCAATTTTTTTTTAATAAATTAAATATTAAATACTAGGAAAAGTATCTATCGAGTAAAAATAAATAAAAAAATAAAAAATAAAAATTCTAACCACCACGATAAAATTAAACGAACTAAAGAAATAAAAAAATTCGACACACTTCTCTTTACCATTTTAAATAATTTTAAATATGGATGAGAAATCCACTACTGTAACAGTAAGTATGGATGAGACTACTATAAGTACTACTGTAAGTATGGATGATGGTAAATTGGATCCTTCTTACGAAAAAGTTATAGAATCTCAAGTCCACATTGACAATGTTAAAGCTTCCTATTGGAAATTATATACTTACGCTACCGTGAGAGATCGGCTTCTTATGTTTATTGGCTTAATATTTTCTGGAGCGACTGGTGCTACATTGGTATAACAATGGTTTTCTCAATTTGATTATTATTTAAATTCAAATTCATTAAATTTATTTGTTTGTTTACTATTTTTTTTTTAGCCCATATTAACGATTCTTTTTGGAAAAATGGTTGATTATTTTACTAAATACCAATTACGTCCAGATTACTTCACTTCGGAGGTTAACAATCATACTTTGGTCTTCGTACACCTCGGTATCATTAATTTTTTCACAACTTATATTTATATGGGTTGTTGGGTTTACACTTGTGAAAGATATTACTCAATTACTATTATCATACTTATTTTAAATATTTTATGGATGTCCTTAAAATATACTCCAGGTCTAGACTTACTAGACACCCTATATAAATAAAAATTTTTTAAAGTAGATAGCACGTGATAAATACAATTCTGACCTAGTTACCTGGTTTTAGGATAAATTTATCCATTTCATTTACTAAGTTAAAATTTGCCAAATTAGAATTACGCGAAAAATTCGTGAAAAATATCTACGTGCAATTCTTCGTCAAAATATTGCCTATTTTGATAAAATTGGAGCCGGTGAAGTTACTACTCGTATTACTTCAGACATTCATTTGATTCAAGATGGTATCAGTGAAAAATTTGCCATGGCTTTCCAAGTTAGTAGTTTTTTCCGTAAAAATTTCACATTTAACTAATTGCTCTTTTCACATGATTTTAGTACTTTTGCCAATTCGTTATCTCCTTTGTTATTGCTTTCACTAAAAATTGGAAAATGACATTCGAAATTTGTTGTCTTATTCAACTTGTTGGTATTACTAGTGGTATCGTAAATAAATTAACTGCGGTCTTTATGAGGCGGTCATCGGATTTTTATTCATATTCTGGTATAATTGCCGAAGAAGCAATTAGTGCTATACTGTATCGGCATTTGGTACCCAAAAGAAAATATCTAAATTATATGATTATCATCTAAAAGATGCCAAAATTGAAGGAAGGAAGAAAGCTATAACAAGTGGTGCTGGGGTCGGTTTCACTTTTTTCTTTATTTATAGTGTTTTTGCATTAGCATTTTGGTATGGTACAAATTTAATTCTTGATGGTGAAATCACTCCTGGAGAAATTGTTAATATATACTTCGCTGTAATAATCAGGGCCTTTGCACTTGGAAATATTACTCCTGATATACAAGCTTTCAGTTTTGCTAGTGGAGCTAGTTCAAAAATTTTCGAAACAATACAACGTGTTCCACCAATTGATATTGAATCAGAGGGTGAAAAAATTAATATAAAAGGTTGCATTTTAATTAAAAACGTTTCTTTCATCTACCCAGCTCGACCTACAGTACAAATTTTGAATAATGTTACTTTGGATATTGAACCTGGTTCAACTGTTGCTCTTGTCGGTTCATCCAGTTCTGGAAAAAGTATTATTATATCACTCATTCTTCGATTCTATGATCCCGTTTCTGGGGAAGTTCAACTTGATGTCCATGATATCAAATCTCTTAATCTCAATGGCTAAGAAGACAAATGAGTCTTGTTGGCAAAGAACCTGTACTTTTCAACACTAAAATTGCTGAAAATATTGCTTATGGTTTAATAGGATCTAAATATGAGAATCTACCAGAAGATAAGAAACGGGAACTAATTGAAAATGCATGTAAAATGGCAAATGCTCATGATTTCATAATGAAACTTCCTGAAAAATATGAAACAATGGTCAGGAGGACAAAAACAACGTATTGCCATTGCTCGCGCTATTATAAAAGATCCAATGATTTTATCGTTGGATGAAGCGACAAGTGCTTTAGATACACAAAGTGAAAGTATTGTACAAGACGCTTTGAATAAGGCATCTAAAAACAGAACGTAAGTTTCTCTTATTATTCTTAATATCTACTTTGTCGTAAATCTTACAATTATTATAAATAATTAATTCTAAATTAAATTATCTTTATAATTCATGACATTATTTTACAGTACAATTGTCATAGCTCACAGATTATCCACTATACGTAATGCTACAAAGATTATTGTAATGAATCAAGGTTCCATTATGGAAATCGGTAATCATGAAGAACTTATGAAAAAAAAGAGCGCATACTACGAGCACTACTAATTCATTCTATCAAAGAAAATCCAGATTTAATGGATTCTTCAATACCTCCGGAAGATAAGGATCATTTATTTAATACTGGAAGTAGATCATCATTTAAATCATGTCATTACCAACTTATCTGCATCATCATCAATTTTGTCTGAACGAAAAGAAGATCTTGAAGCTGGAATTAAACATGATTATGAATATACTACTTGGGAAATATTTAAAAAAGTTGGAAAAATGAATCGACCAGAAACTCTATTTATAATTATTGGCCTACTTGCTGCAATTATTTGTGGTAGTGTATATCCAATATTTGCCATCATATTTTCACATATTATAGAATCTTTTTCTAAACCTCCGGATCAAATGAAACATGATTCAACCTTTTGGTGCTTTATGTTTCTTGTAATCGCGGTAGCCTCTTTAATTGGTCAAACTGTACAAGGTGCAGCTTTTGGTTATTCTGGTGCAAATCTTACAGAACGAATTCGATCCATGTCTTTTGTATCTTTGTTGCGACAAGATATAGAATTTTTTGAAAAAGAACGAAATAGTGTTGGTATCTTGACTAGTGCTTTATCAGTAGATGCCGCTCGCGTAAATGGTTTGGCTGGTCTTACTCTTGGTACTCTTTTGCAAGTAGTCACTACAGTTATTACCGGATTTGTTATTGGACTTGTCATAGGATGGAAACTTACAATAGTTTGTGCAATTTGTATTCCTCTATTAATTTTTTCTGGTGCTATTCTTATTAAGATGTTGGATGGTTTTCAAGAAAGGACCAAAAAAGCATATGAAGAATCTGCTCAAACCGCATGTGAAGGTACTGCAAATATTAGAACAGTAGCTGCTCTTACCCGTGAAGAAGATTTATGGAATATATATCATCATAAACTTGATGAACCAATGAAACAAGGATATCATAATACAATATTTGCATCAATTTCTTTTGCATTTGCACAATCTATTCTCTTCTTCACAAATGGTTTAGGATTCTGATATGGTAGCCGATTATTCAGAGATGGAGAATATAATTTAAATATGATGTTTACAGTATTTTTTGCTATAATCTTTGGTTCAATGGCTGCTGGTAGTGCATTTGAGTTTATACCTGATGTTATGAAAGCAAAACAAGCCGCAGCATCCATCATTTCATTAATTGAACGAAAACCAATGATAGATACCTGATCAAAGTCTGGAAAAAAAATTGAAAACATTGAGGGACTTATTGAATTTCATGATGTTCACTTTAGTTATCTCAATCGCCCTCATGTACAAGTTCTCGATGGATTAAATTTAAAAGTCAAACCTGGACAGTTTGCAGCATTAGTCGGATCATCAGGATGTGGTAAAAGTACCACTATTGGACTTACAGAAAGATTTTATCAAATAACAAGTGTAAAAGTTACTATTGATGGAATAGATATTTCAACCATCAATACAAATAGTCTTCGAAAAAATATTGCACTTGTTAGTCAAGAACCTTCATTATTTGATACGACCATTAAAAAAATATTTTATTTAGATGTCGACCTGGACAAAACCCAACCCAAGAAGATCTTGAACGGGTATGCCGAGAAGCCAATATTTATGATTTCATTTCACAATTACCAGATGGTTTTAATACTCAAGTAGGGGGAAAAGGAACACAACTTTCGGGAGGACAAAAACAGAGAATTGCTATTGCACATGCATTGATACGAAATTCTAAAATTTTATTACTTGATGAGGCTACATCTGCCTTAGATTTCCAATCAGAAAAGGTTGTGCAAGATGCATTAGACCAAGCAGCTAAAGGAAGAACAACAATCCCTGTTGCACATAGATTATCAGCAATTCAAAATGCTGATATAATTTTTGTGTTTAAAGATGGTAAAGTAATAGAACAAGGAACACATCAAGAACTATTAGTACAAAACGGAATTTATTATATGGTTCAAAAACAAGATTTGAGAACATAAATATAATTTTCATTTATTTTATTTTTTATTTTTAATTTTTTAAGATTGTATAATAATTTAATTCTTTTGTTAATAATAATCCAGCCGCTCCGTTCTGTCTCTGTCTCCAATTTCTAACTCTACCCTCTATAAGTACATAAAATTTTTCCCTTTTATGAACTTATTAATGTACTACACTTCCTGCATTTCGAACCCCTTTTTTTATAATAATAAAAATAATAAATATTTAATGATCTTCAATCTCTTCTAGCCTTAATTAGTAATCTCGATGTATTGTTATTTAAGATAATAATTATTCAAGAAAATAAAAAAATAATAATTTAAATAATTAAAAGACATTATTATCATCACTAAAGAAACATTTTTATTATGCGCATAATATATTCGGAGCAAATGAATTCTTGTCAATTGGACGAATCATATATTTAACCGTCGTGCATTTATTTCAGGTCACATTGTTTTCTTTTTTTCATAATTAAATAAAACAATCTTTAATAATAATGGAAAAATGGAAATATTCGGGGATGAAGAAAAAGTAGATAATATTATATTCGTCATTGTACATACAATTAATTTGTTGAAATTCACACGAATTTTTTTTTTTTACTGCTATAAATAAAAAATATTGCTTAATTATACAAAGTATTCATTAAATCATAAATTTTTTTTTTTTTTAAAAAAAAAAAAAATAAATATTTTTATAGAAATGTTTTTATAATAATTTTTTCTCTCAAAATAAAAATAGTAACGAAAATGGAGTTCGAAAATAATATGCGTGTGTATGTAATATTTTTTTTTCTTCTTCTTTTCTTGTGTGAGGGAAATAGGAATATTTTAACGATGAGAAAAAAGGACTAAAATAAAATTAACTGAAAAACATAACATTTATAAAACTGAATGCTATTATTATTATCAAAAAAGGCCTAAACTCTATAAAAATCAACAATGAATTTTTGAAAATAAACAAATTATAACCTTAAAAGTCAAAAGAAGCTCAAAATACTTTCCTCCCAAAAAAATGAGATAAAGGAGAATTAAAAGAAAAAATAAATTTGGTAAGAATAAAAAATTATATGAAATTGTGATAAAAAAACTTAGAAATAAGAACTTAGATTTTGTTATTTAGCTTATGGTATTTATGCATGAAAAAATTCTTAAGTTGTAAAATTAAATGCTGGATAAAATAGAACTTTATTAAAAACAATTTTTAAAGTGAATTATAAAGTATAGGGAGAGGGAAAGGAAGAGGGAGGAAGAGGAATAAGAATATATAGGAATTAGTTATATAGAGAATTAATGTAGGTAATAAATATAAAACGTCAAAAACGAAAAATGCGCGCCACTACTGTATTCAGATTGATTTTTTTCGGGAATTGAAAATTTATAAATTAATTTTTGTTTTGCCGCTAAGTATAAAGTTTTTTTTTTTTCAAAAAAAAAAAAAAAACGAAAATTAATAAATAAATAAAATGTCGAGAGAAAGGAAAAATGTCGAAACTGGAAATAAAAATAATTGTTAAATGAGGAAGCGTTTAAAATTAGAAATAAAAAAAAAAATAATACGTGATGTTCAAATTTAATAAAAAAATAACGAATTAGAAAAAAAAATAAAATTTGTGAATAATAAAAATCCATTCAATGTAACATAAAGAGAAGTAGGACAAGAACTAATGATGGAAGAACAAATTTTTCTCGAATCCATCTTCATAACGCGTATTACTATTGATATTGAATAAAGAATTAGATCTAACACTATTATCACTTGACATAGAGAAAGGTGGAGAGCTAGTAATAGTAGAAGATGAAGGTAAAGAAGAATTATTAATTCTTTTATTAATTTGTGACGTGTATTGATTAAAATCATTATTATTATTCATAAATAAATTATTATATTTATTAGAAGGATTAAACTGATGATTAATTATGCAAGGACATAAATGACGAAAATCATCAGTAGACCTCAACGGACCACAAGTACAATTTTTTGTAGGTGATAAAGATGACGATGGTGTATATAATAAATCTTTAGAGTTTTTTGGATGAAGTAACACTTTAGGATCAGTATTAATAGGTGTAATATTTTTCGGTGTTGGCTTAACTAAAGTCATTGATATTGATGTGACTGGTAGTGAAGGTAATAAAGTTGAAGTTGTTAATGTTGGTAAAGTAGAGAATGTCGGTAATGTTGGTGAAGTAGGTGTTGTGGGTAAAGAGGAAGAAGTAGAAGAAGGGGAAACCATATTAGATAAATTTGAATTATCAGTGATTGTGGTATTGGTAGTAGTTGTAGTTTTAAGCGAAGAAATATTTAATCGTTCATGACTTATAATAGCATTAATAGATGTTACGGGTAAAAATCTTGAAGTTAATTGTTCATTACCATAATATTCTAACATAAAATTTTCATTCTCATAAATAGTTGTGGTGTCATTAGTTATAGGAGGAAGTGGAGGTGGATGAATAGGTAGTTTTCTTTGGAAATGTGGTGAATATGTTTGCATCGATGATGAAGGTAATGAATTTACTCGACGTCTTTCTCCTAAACTTGGTGATGATGGTTTGTTATTACGATGAGAAATAATAGAACTGGATTGACGTGATGATGACGATGTTGATGGCTGTCCTTTACTACCAAACGTTTGTACAAAATTCATTCGAAGTAATTGAGGTCTGAATGATGGTCCATTGTTTTTTGTGAATTCTGTTTTTTTCCTTAAGGAAAATGCGGAAGTAGTCCGTTGTGTTATACGTTCTTTGTTGGTAAGAACTGGAAGCCAAAGAACCGGTTTTGGTGGATTTATAAAAGATTCTTCTCCGTTATTAGAAACACCTTCTGTACTCAAAATATTACTATTAACAAAAAAGATTGGACGAAATTGAAATCTTTTTCTGGTCGACGGAGATTGTACAGATGTGGAGGAGGAATTGTTATTATTTGATGGAGATGGAGAAGCAAGCATAAATTTCTTCAGATCTTCGGTCATATTCACCAAATTACGATACAATTTTTTTATATTTTTTTCATGATGACCTCGATGATTTCGAGAAGATTGTTCCGCCACCAACAAATTCTTTATCACCTCCAATGGAAAAGGGGAATTCAATAATTGATTACGAAAATCCATCATCATCAAATTCTCATGACAGTTGATACTATAATTACCACGAGCTTCTAACGAAGCACCAATTACTGAAAGCAATTCCGGTAATTTTTCAATCTCGCATTGAACGATGTCGCATACATCTGATGAATCAAGATGTGTATTTTGAAAACATTTAAGTTGACATCTATATAATATACGTGAGCATAATAACACTAAAGCAAAGTCATGACGTTCGGGTGAAATTATATCAACATCGATTAAGCATTTTTCTTCGCGAGATGTTAATCTACTTTTTACTTTGGGCATTACGAGAGAGAAAAAAAAAATAAAGGAGGACTAATTATTTTTTTTTTGTTTATCAAAAAAAAAAAAGGGAATTAAATGAACTGAAAAAAAATTTAATCAATTATATGAGGTCTTTCCGAACGAATAATAATTCTCTCTACTCTCTACTTCTTTTTTTATAAAAGAAAAATTGAGAGTATTTATATAAATTTAGAAATTTTAATAAAAAAAATTATTATTTATATAATTGAATTAAAATCGAATAGGAAACAGGGGGGAATAAATAAGGATGCATAAAGTAAAGAATAAAAGTAATTATAAGTTGTATAACTATATAACAAGTTGGGAAGTTAAAAAACAATTTCGATATAGAAATCTGTTGACAAATAAAACTTGGAATTTATTTAAGCTAAAAATTTGAATTGTTCGACAAAAGTTTATTACGAGAAAATAAATAAAACAATAAAGAATGTTATTGGAAAATAATATTATACAATCATTATTCTAAATCAATTTAGTGTTCATTAATTATTAAATTTTTAGTGTTCCTAAAGGAAAATGAAGGAAAAGGAAATAAAAAAAAAGAGAAAAGAAAAGGGCAGGAAGAAATAATAATAATTTATTAACGCGCTGAATTAGCGAGAGATCGATCAAATTGTTAAATGTTGAGAATATACCAGCAAATAAAGAGATGAATAAAATAATTAAAAAAGGAAGCTGAAAAGTATAATACAATAATGATTGAATATACCGTATAAATAAACTCCTTAAAAATTCTAACTGTAAATATTTTGAAATACATATAAATATTTTATTATTTGTAAATATTATGCCAAACATTGGAATATTATGTCATGTTTGCTTATTAAATAAATAAAAATAAAATAAAGTTAGGTTTTTTGATGAATTCTTCAAATTAATTGTCTTCCAATTTTGGATTTTGGATTTTTCACTTTTTTAGAATTTTTCCGTAAAGGTATTCTAATGTGGAACAATTGATATATTCTTATTATTCTTATATAATAATAACTAGTAATAATAATATTGCACACATCCATCGGACATCGGAAAATCGCGCATATCGATACAACGACAACAATCGATACAATTAGCCACGTGAATGAATACGAAAAATCATTGTCGACGCTCAAAACTGCAATTCGTCAATCCTATTTCCCCCTCCTCATTTTCTTCTCATTGTTCTCTCATATTTCCTGAATGATGATTTCTGCAATTAAATATTGGTTCTATACTAACTTACGTTTTATAGGGATGATTTTATAGATATATGGCTGAAACTCCGGGGGGAAGAATCTTTGATTGGTAATTCCTCTGGCATCAATAAGTGAGTTTATATAGTCCACTTTTTTTTTATCCTCATTGATTTCACTAAATAGGAGTGAATTTCTTTAATTTGATATAATGTATTAATATAGTATTTAATGTTGACATAATGAAATAATAAAGATAAGAAGACAGAAATATGGGGATGTCAATTAAAAAAAATAATCAAATGAAAAAAATAATTATATAATTTGGAGTTAATATATATATATTAATAATTTTATTTTTAGGACATATATTTAGCCACAAATTATTTATGATATATATATGAGTTACATCAATTACATCAATTACATCAAAATGCATCAACTATTACATAAGTTGCATAGGTGAAAATTTTAATTAGATGGTGGTTGAACTTTTTTTGAATGAAGCATAGTATGTAAGGAATGAGCAAGAATGTTTAAGAGTGTCAAGAGATATGTGAAAAATATATTTGAAAATAATATATTTGAGATATATTTGATAAATATGAATTCTTGAACATAATAATGACAAAAATGACCTTTTTAGTATTTTCTCTACACTATACCATATTAGAACTCATTCTCATTGGATAATCTATTATTTTAATATTAATTTTAAGATACAATCAAAGAAATATTGTTTTGATCAATAAAAATGACGACAATTATTTATTTGCTTTTTTTATTTTATTTTTTATTTGAAAAAGCATATAAATATTGTCTAATATTTCTTGATGCTTTTCTCTTTGATGACTTTTGATGTCTTTTGATGTAAAAATAAAAGAAATGAAATTAAAGGTAGTAAAATATCGTAAACTTAATATATTTGCCATTTTACTGGTTCTTAAACCCAATTTTCTTTTTTTTAAAAAAAACAATGATAACATTTCAAATGACCATCATTTGTTTGTTTGTTTTTGTTACAAATGCATACAGTTAAATATATACTAATAATATTAAATATATTGCTAAAATATACGGTACGTCCATTGTATCCATTATATAACTAAAGTGTCTATTGTTTATAAAATGTTTTCATATATATAAATAGTTTCTCATTATTTTCTCTCTATGGTTTAACTAAAAAAAACAAAGTTGGTGTTAATAAATATTTCATGTATGGAAGAATTCAAAAAATTGCAATCAATAATTCTTTTTTTTTGCGTTCAATAATTCACAAAGAAAGAAGTTACTATCAATGTAAAATGTACTATGTTCCTGTTTACTCGGATTATTCTAATATTATTCTTTCAGATTATTCAAATTATTCTAATTTATTCTTTCGGATTATTCTATTAATCTGCTTCTATTGAGAATTCTTATTACAATTACTGACTTAAACTTCTTTATTGATTCTTCTTTTTGAATTTTTTCTTGGTAAAAAATAAGCCATAAATACAATTTAATCATTATAATTAATTATAATTAATTCTTATAATTAACGCGTATTTCGGATAACCAGATTATATTTTCATTATGACAAAAAAAAGAAAATGAATAAGCAAATAAAAAGGAAAGAGATGAAAGGAAGAAAATTACTTGATTCATCTTGAAATATTAAAAGAAAACATCCTTCTTCTTCCTGTTCCGATTATATTATTATCCTGTATCCGTACCTTTATTTGTGTTTATTTATTGATCTAATTGGTTTCCATCTTACATATTGACTGTTTCCACAGATTAAAATAGATAAAAATATTATTTAAATTGATCACTATTAATATCAATTTATCAATTTTTTAATTCCTAATAAAAGTTTATTTTGTTTATCTTAAATTAAATGCTTATACGTACATTTGCCAAAACCCGAATTACTGTAATTATTGTACAAGTAACAGTTCCGATGTATATTCGGTATCATCGATGTCAATCGGAATAATCGAGGTGCAGCGACCTCCTCTATAATCACCCTTATACGATCACATAAACGAGGACCAATTTCTAGTAATACTATATAAAAATCCCTCTATATCGTTATAATCACACCTTTTATTTTTGGTTTCTATGGTCCCGAGGGGTCACTGTATATGTTATATGTTGATTTATTGCAATATTAAAAAAGTACATTATTACTATTTTATTAGATGCATCCGTTTTTCATTGACAATATTTTTTTTGTCATTATTTTTTTTGTCATATTTTTTCATTCAAATTATTATTATTATTGTTATTATTATTATTATTATTATTATTACTATTATTATTATTATTATTATTACTAACGATTAATTTGATTGATAAAGGGGTTTTTGTAATACACACAAAGAGAAAAAAAAAGAAGAGAGCGAACAAATAATTTATGGTACGATGTATATTTTCATACCAATTATTAACAACTTACTTCTTTAAGTAAAATAATTGAATTACAAGTTTAGCAATAAATAAAAAATAATCACCACCACAACACATAATAATAATAATCAAAACAATCATAAATTATTTCCTGGGATAACAAATTTTATTTTTGTTTCCTATTTTAAAATTTTTCTCAATTAAGAAGTTTCTTCTTTTTAATTCTTGATTAACTCTGGATTTTTTTGTTACCTAAAATAATAAAAAATAAGTATTGTTAATTTAATCTTATCAAAATCATTTAATATTGTTTTACGTTTATTCTTTATTTGTTTTTTATTATTATTTTTATTGAAAATGCGAGGAAGAACAAATAATTTATGACGATGATTATTTTTTACTACTTTAAGTAAAAAATTGAATCACATGTTTGAAATTCAAAATTATTTTCTGGGTATAATAATTTTTTTTTTGGTACATCAATATTCTTTTTTCTTTCTCTGATTCTTTTTTTCTAAATTCTTGATTAATTCTGGATTCCTTTTTATTGTTTTACATTCTCGGTTTGATAATTCTCACATTCTTAATAAGACATCGACTAATAATATATATATATTATTGTAAAATTAGTTAATACAAGAATTGTAAATTAAAATATCAGCAAATTAATTCATTGAAGTTCGATAAAGGGAGACAATTTCACAGGTCAGTTTACTCGGAAAAAAAAATAATAAATTTGGGAACCAATGTTCCAAAGTTCAATAAAATAAATAAACTAATTGAACGAATAGAACAAATAAAAATAAAAATAATAGAACAAATAGAACAAATAAAAATAATGGAACAAATAAAACAAATAAAACAAATAAAACAAATAATAATAATAGAACAAATAATTTCTTCTCGCTGATCTTACTAAATGTCAATATTATTATTTTTTTTATATCTTGTTTTTTTTTCAATCAATTAATGAATATATTTCGTAGAAAAAGATATAGAAAGTTAATTTTAAATTTGTATTTATGAAATTATACGAAGTCTTGTTCAATCAAAGCATTAAAAATATTAAATTTTATAATGAAAATTTTTTTTTAAATAATTTAAAAATAAATAATTTGTACATGTAAAAAATCAAAAAAAAAAAAGATGAATTTTTCTTTAAGGCAATATAACAAATAATTGATATTTTTCAGAATAATTTTTATAGTTATAATTTTACTAAGTAGAGATTTTCTAATATTTTATTTTGCTAATTGACAATGTTTATGATAGTATTTTGAATATAATTTTAAGAAACTCAAAATTTTACAAAATAAATTCAATCAATTTTTTTTTTTTAAAAAAAAAAAAAATTTTAAATTAGATTTCCGATTGATCGACGAATTGGCAATTAAAAAAGATTTATTTTATCATCTTTGCAATTTCCCATATAAAATTGAATAATTTAATTCTTGTATTTTTGAACTGTAAAAAGTTATTACCATCATAATTACTGACTCGTTAACTCACATACTATTAAAAAAATAATGGGTTGTAACCCATAAATTAAATTTCATATGAAATTCTAATTCGTTTAATTTGGGAGTTGACTTGTTAGGAGCATTAGATGTGCAGATGTGAAACTCATTTAATTTATTTCTGGTTAACTTGAATGGTTGTTTAATAATTGGTAATTTTTCTGATGTTTTTAGACTTTTTAAAAATGCTTGTTCTAGGTTTGATTTCAAAATTTTTTTTCATATGCTATGAGTAGTTCATTTAATGCCTGGTTTTTTATACCATCTGATATTTCTTTAACCCATTGGTTTTGTGTTTCAGAATTATTTTGTAAATTATAATGTTTCTCTGTTTCTTTGTGTTCTTTATTTAATCAATCTTAATGCCTGGTTATATGTACCCATCCATCTCAATAATTTTTATTTCTGTTCTTTGTTTGGGTACATTTGAATCTTTAGAGTTTTTCCATTTTGACCCTCTTCACATTATTTCTTTTGAGCTTCTCATGCTCTTCTTTTCTTGTTTGATGTGGTTCTAATACTGTTATGCCTTGCTGTGAACACTGTAACAATTGATAAAAAATCCTCTATGAGTTCTGTGGTATCTGGATCTGATGATTCAATATCAATGTTGTGAACCATGATCTTGATTTTGTGTTTGTTGAATATCCACTCAATGAGTTCATATGTGATTCGGCAGAACCTGTCTTTCCTGATGATCACAACCTCATCGATATCTCATTGATATCCTTGGTATGCAACCCTCTTCATTTCCAGTTGAGGCCGATCCAATATCAGATAGTCTGGGAATTCTCTTTCAAGGTCTCCTTGATATGCTTATCACTTGAGACTTAAGTGTAACAGATCTTTTTCTTTTGCGTTTTTTTGATTGTTGAAAATGTTATCGATGTCTTCTATCGAGTAGAATCTCTTTCCATTGGGCATGGGAAGACTCCGTATGATAATTTTTTGAGTAATTTTTTAAGATTTGAAAAAAAAATATTTATGCATATATCTGTGTTGCATAAACGATCATATGATCTACGTTGACAAAGAACTTGAACAAAAACAAATTCGAACCTTAAATATTTTTTTAAAAACATTTTTTTTTGTTGATACCTTTTGATGGCAACTTTCGCCACTGAAAAAGATCTCAATTCAAGTTCTCAACATGACGTGCACTTAAGTGTATGTAGCTTCTCTGCCGTTGCTGGCGTTGAAGACCGCGATATCGTTCCTGCTACTGCCACAACTGAAATTTTCGGCAATTTTCAAGCGTTGAAGGTTTATACCCTTATTTTTGTTATTTGGAATATTTCCAAAATTTTCACTTAAATTACCTTTTGTCGATTTTATTAGACAATATCACACCCTAACCTTTGTGAATATGTTGAAATTGTAAAAGGAAAACATGGTAATTTATTAATTTGATTTAATTGGATTATTTTTGGCTTAATTTGATTTGATTTAATTTGATTTAATCTGATTTAATTTGATTTTAGAATTTTATAAATATTAAATCAATTCAATTTTCATATATTTATAAATAGATAGATTATTTGTGGTAGTAGAAAATCATCTGAACTTTCTTGGTAAATTATATCGTTGTGAGGATAATAAAATTCAGGTAGCTAGGTAATATCTTCACGAACTTTATTTCGGATCGATTATTTTTTTTTTTCTTCATTTATTTATTTATTTATTTATTTAAATTTTTCTTCCTTTCTAAAGTGTTGGAGTATCTATGTTACGTGAATGGGCATTCCAAATTCTAAAAGCTCTCGCTTATTTGAATAGTAATAACATTATACATCATAATTTATCACCGAATAATATTTTAATTGATTCTGAGGTGAAAATTTCTTAGATTAATCTTTTTCATTATTATCTATCTCTCGATAATTTGTCATCGATTTATCAATAACCGTTATTATTATTATTATTATTATTATTATTACTTTTAGGGAACAGTCAAGTTAGCGAATTATGGATTATATTATATGACAAAAGGGGGAGCTAATGTAGATTTTCCAATTGGGTAAGAAGATTGATGATTTTTTTTAAAAAATATTTAAAAAATTCCCATAACAATTTTTTTTTTTAAATCAATTTTCACAACAGTTATCCACATTACCTTCCTCCAGAAGCAATCTATCGTTCAGCAGATAAACCCGAAACTACTGGGAAGGTAATAAATAAAAATTTTCAAATAATGATGATTAATATTTTATCAATTAATAATTCCAATTTTTTTTGATCTTTTTCTTAATTTTAAAATTTTTTTTAGGTAGATGTGTGGTCACTAGGTGTAATATTAGTCGAAATTCATACCGGTCTTCCATTTTGGGAAGGAGACGAAAAAGACATTGATAAAATTTTTTCATCATTATGGGAACTTCAATGTATTGCTGATGTAGAAGACGAACAAGAAGTTTGGGATCGTTTCACGGTATTCCAATTAGGTATAAGTGAAGCGATATTAGAATTTCTTCAAGGAACGGATGATGATTATGGAGATTTTCGAAATTTCGTTCGAGCTTGTTTAGAAGTTAATCCATCTGATAGATGTTCACCCGAACAATTATTATCACATCCATTTTTTTCATCAATTTATGAGAATGGACTTGGTAATCATTATAAATATTGGTGGGTTAAACCTTTCTTACAATCTCGAAAATTAAATTTGGATGATGAATTATTAGAACCTCAAGAAGAATCTCATAATAAAGATGTACTTGAAGGTATTCCATTATCTCAAGTTTATTACTTTTGGAAATTAGCTGGAGGTGATGTTGAATCCGAATTAGCTAAGAGAGGATTTCTTTTAAGTACACCTCCAATTGAACGAATACCTAGAGCAGTGAAGGTACAAAATGGGAAAGAAGAAGGCACCGCACAAGATACGGCATTTTTATATTCAGACATTATTCATAGTTTATCATTAAAAGAACTTCGACAAAGATTAGAAATTGCCACAGGTCCAAATCGAGATACATTTGAATGGGATACTGATTATTTTCTTGTTGTTGATGAAGATGATATGAATTTTTTAGTAGATGAAATGTCAGATGAAGAAAGTTCTAGTACAAAAGATGAATTTATTGATAAATACCTATTTTTGGATCCCAATAATAAATCAACTCCTTCAACATCAAATGGAACAAGTCAATCACCTACTAATAATGTAAAATTACCTTTACTTATACGAGAAAAAGATGTCGGATATCAATTTCAAAGGGTTGCATTATTTACTGAATTATTAAGAGAATATCCTTCATCTCGGGATGAAATTATTCATCACGCAAAAGTTGATATACCACCTTTCTTAAGAGGAAAAATATGGGCTGCTATTCTTGGAGTTAATGGAGATTATCAAGCCATATATGATTCTTATGACAAAGAAAACGAAAAAGAAACGGATCGTCAGGTTAGTAGTAATAATAATTCATAATTCTTTTTATCATTTATTTATTTATTAAAATCTTGTAAAAATAAAAAATAATTATATATATATATTTATTTATATGTACATATATATAAAATATAAAAATATTCATTCTAAAAAATATTCTTTTTATCAGATCGATGTTGGTAATACATGGTTTGGATTACTTGCAATAATAATTTTATGAATTTTATGATTTATTATATTTATTATATTTATTATGATAATTATATTTATTTATTTTTATATTTCATTTATTTATTATATTGTTTTTTGTTTTATTATAATAATAATGTTAGATGTACCAAGATGTCATCAATATCATCAACTTCTTTCATCTCCAGTTGGACATGGAAAATTGAGACGACTTTTAAAATGTTTTGTAGCGTCAAATACTAAATTGGTTTATTGGCAAGGTAATAATAAATGATTGTAAAGATATTTAATCAATTTTTTTAATTAATTAATTAATTAATTAATCATCATTGTTTTATATTTAATAGGACTCGATTCAATTTGTGCACCATTTTTGACTCTTAATTTTAATGACGAAGCTCTTGCTTTTAGTTGTTTACAAGCTTTCATTCCAAAATTTCTTAAGGATTTTTTTATATTTGATAATTCCCCCGTTATTCAAGAATATTTGGCAGTTTTTCGTCATTTATTATCATTTCATGATCCAGAATTGTCCAGTCATCTTAATAGAATTGGGTATCAACCAGATTTATACGCTATTCCATGGTTTTTAACTTTATTTACTCGTAATTATTATCTTTTTTATCATTAATATATTTCGTATATAATATTTTTAATTCAATAAATTCATTTATTAAATTAATTTATTATTATTATATAGATGTATTTCCCTTAGATAAAACTTATCATCTTTGGGATAAAATTCTTGTTGGACCACCTTCTTTACCATTATTTGCAGGAATTTCAATCCTAAGGCAACTTAAAGATGAATTTATAAAATCCGGATTTAACGAATGTATTCAATTAGCTGATTCATTTCCGGATGTTGATATTGAAAAATGTATTCAATCAGCTTTATCAATGTGTAAGGTCACACCACCTTCTGTGATTTATCGGGTACATGAAGAACATTCTAAACCTGGTGGACCTTCAGATTCTGAAAATCAATTATCAGTAAGTTTTTTTTTTTTTTTTAATTTATTATTAAAATTTATTTTTTTAAAAAAAAAAAATTTTTATTTAAGGATCCTGTTCAACGTTGGTGGGAACAACCAATACCAGTTGAAACAAAGAGAGCTGAATTAACACCAAGAATATCACTGAAAGATTTAGTCAAGTTACGAAATCATGTATTGGTAATTGATATGAGGAATGAACAAGAGTATGTTTTTATTATTATATCAATTCTTGATATATCAATTGAAATAAATATTATAAATTTTTTAGCTTTTAATTTTTTTAATTCTTTTTATTTTATTTATAGGTTTGCAAGGGGTCATTTTCCCTTATCAATAAATATGAATCCAACGCATTTGGAACAATTGACACATACATTGTGGCAAGAGAAGAAGAAATATCATATAGTAGTTGGTAAACGAGGAGATTCCGGTCCACAGGTAAAAATGATAAATAATAATTAAGTAAATTAAATGATTAAATATTACCGTTTGTCTGCCATTTTTTTTTTTTCTAAAATAGCATCTATTTTTTTTCTTCTTTTCTTTTCGGTAGTTTGCCGCTGAACTTGTCAATGAACATTTCCCTCGGGTAGCAGTATTAACTGGAGGAATTGATGTTATGCGAGTAGATACTGAAGAAGGTGTCGTTGTTTGTTCTTGTCGTCCCATTAAAATGGCACCTTCTCCTGGTGCAAAGACTAAAGATGGACCAGTTGTGTATTGGAAGTGTACACACAATTTAATGAAATAATTGATTGATTAAAAATATTCAATTCGTTAAATTAAAATACTACTTCTTATTTTTTGTATTATTATATATTGTATTTATTTATTATTATATGTATAAATTTTATAAATTTTGTAAAATTATTAAAATTCTTTTACAAAAAAGAAAAGACTTTATTTTATTCTTTTTATTTGTTATATTCTTTATTTTCTTTATATATTATTTTTGTTTATTATAAGATTTTAAAAATATATTTTATGTATATTAATAATAGAATAAGTTCCATAATGAATGAGAATACAATAAATATAGATTTTTTTTTTGCAAATATATATAATGTCTAAAAATCCAACCAAACTTTATTTAACTTTATATAACTTTAAATAACATAAATAAATATAATAAATTTAAATACAATATATGCTACAAAAAAAAAAAAATTAAACAAAATTTCCATATATAATTATTGTCTTTTCATAACACTAGAATGTCCATTTCTATTTGCAGACCATTGATTAACCCTTTCAATAAATGGTTCAATAAATCTCTGATCACCAGAATTAGCAATATTAATCAAATGATTATAAGTTGCTAACAACTATATATATATATATATATATATATATGTATATGTAAATAAAAATGATAAAAATAAAATTATAGTATTAGAAAATATTCCAATTTTTTTTTTTTTTTACAATTATTATTCCAAGAAAATCAAGTATTATTATTTATTATTCACCTGAGTTCTAAGTTGATCTTGATATTTCACTTCACAAAATCCAGTATTAGATAAATTATCAACATTCTCTATACTTGAAACTATTGCATGTAAAATTTTACAAAGTATTGTAATATCACCATATTTCACTCGAGTCATTGGAGTAGCTAATGCCAAACATGCATTAATTCTAACTTTAAAATTTTTTGAAGTTTGAACCACTCGAATTAATGATTCATATAATAATGTTGACCAACTATTGGTTTTTAATCCAATTGGAATGTTGGGATTTCGTAACATGTTTGCTGCTGCATAACAAGCATTCCAACGAACCTATAAATAATAATATATATTTATATATATAATATAATATAATGATATGCATAAAATATATATAATAAAATACACATAATAACAAAAAAAAAACAAAACAAATATACTTTTAATGATCCGGATTCGAAATTCTTTATCAACACCTGTACAACTTCTTTAATTAGTCCTCTCTCTTCTCTAATTAAAAAATTTGTAGGGCTAACATGAATGATACTTCCTAAAGTTCTAACACCATTTGGTCTAACCTGTATAAAAAGAATAAAATAAATATAGAAATATATACGAGATATATTGCAAATTTTTTAAATTTAAATATATATATATATATAGTAATTAATATTTTACCTTGTCATTATCATTTGAAGCACTTAAACCAGCTTTAACAATTTTTACCCACATGACATTTATCAAAAATTCATTCAAATTAGTGTTTCTAACGTTATTATTTTCGGGATTACTTTAAATATATATAAAAATTTGGATACACGTGAAAAGTAAATATTGTATATATATATTTATGATGAAATCTGAATTCAGATGAAAAATAAATTAATAAATTATTAATTTATGTTATTTACCTCAATATAACCATCGTGTCACATAAATTTCCTAAAGCCCAACTGCTTCTAACTCTAACCAAAAGATTCGAATCAGACATTTGTTGAATAGCTGTGAATGCCATATCTGAAGCAAATTTGGTATCCTAAAAATTAAAGGAAAAATAAAATGAAAAAAATACCTTTAATTAAGAAATTAAATAAAATAAATAAAAATAAAAAAAAAAAAAAGAAATATTAAATATACCTGTTGTAATTCAGGGAACAAAATGTAAACTCCAAGACCACGACATGCAGCAGCTCTAACATTTTGACTTTCATCTTTAGCAAATCCAAGTAAAATTTTTATGCAGAAATTTTTCTTTTCACTCTAAAAAATAAAAATAAAAGAGTTGGAAGCAATAATAAAGTTATAAAAGGAATAATTTAAAAAATTTAAAAAAAAAATAACCATAAAATAAAATTCATACAGGTAATGATGAAAATATATTTGCAGGAATGCATGATATAAAGTCACAAGATAAAGCTCGTACGGCATGACATTTATCAACAGAAGTTAGTTGAATATGATTAGATAATACTGCAGTCCACCATTGAAATACTTCTGGCATTACAATATTTTGAAATTGTTGAATCTTTTTTTTTTAAAAAAAATAAAAATAAAAAATAAATAAAACTAATTAATAATAATAATAATAATAAAAAGATATATATTTTATTAACATATATATGTATATATAAAAGTATACCACAATTCCATCTTCTTCAGAATCATTTTGGCGACTTCCACAAACAGCCGCTAACTCTCTAGCATATTCGACCAAGAAATTCATAGCTGCTGTTCTAATATTAACATCTTCAACTTTTAAATCTAATTCAATTAATGGATTAATTTGAAGCCACATTGGACTAATTTAAAATAAAACAATAATAATAAAATAAAATGTTATTTAATATTCGATAATGTTCGATAAATATTTGATAAATGTAAATAAATAAATAAATATTAAATAAATTAAATTCTTTTACCTAATCAATACAAAATGAGTTCTTGCACATGCACAGAGAACACCCCAAGATTCAATTCTAATTGATGGTGGTTGATCAACACTACTAATTATCTTCACAAGAAAAGTTAAAAGATTAACCACTTCTAAATTTTTTCCATACTTTGAAATTTTGGAATGTGATGAACCACCATCATTAATAATGGGTACTCTCAAAATATTATCAACTTCTTCAACACATGATTTACATTCCACAATATTAGATATTAATGTCATGGTTATTATTCTAACATTGACATCTTCACTATTAAGAAATCGTGTTATCGCATAATATAATCGAGATAAATAACCACCCGATAACCTTTCATATGTGGTATTATTAACTAAAACATTACAACACTAACATTAAATGTAAAAAATAAATAAATAAATAAATAAATAAAATAAAATAAAATAAAATAAAATTATTAATTTTTATAAAATTCACACAAACCTTTAATAAATAAATTAAAATATTATTCTGATTTTCTTTTGCAAGTATCTGTAATAAACCGGCATGAAGTTCTCTTACAATAGCTCCTAATTTAGCAGATAATGATGTGAAAGATGATTTGATTTCTCTAAAAAAAAGTATATTTAAATATAATTAAATTATTAATATAATTATTAAATAAAATTATTATTAAATAAATTATTCTTAAATAAATAAATTATTAAATAAATAAATAAAATAATTAAATAATTAAATGAAATAAAATAGTTAAATAATAACCTATCATCAGCTAATGCTAAATATTGTTTAGAATTATCAAACATTGTCATAATCACTGAACAAGCAGTAATCCGAATAGCTGGTATAGTTTCATATGTAATTAAGGTAAATAATGAAGGAGATGTCGATAGAGAGACCTGAGTGTCGGGAAGAAAATGACTCCAATATGGGTATAATAATTTAGGTGAAGACTATTATTATCATTATCATTATTATTATATAAACAGATTTAAAAGTTATATATATGTATGTATGTATACATTTTGAAATCCATATATATCAATTATTATTAGCAATAAATAAAGCATACTTTTGCGATACTTTGAAGACATCCAAGAGCATTTTGTCGAATTCTACTATCTTCTTGTCTAATAAATGAAAGAGAAGAAAAGAAAAGAGATGAATATTTATTTATTTAATAAAAAATGAGAACATTTATCAAAGGATTTAAATCCCTAAAAAAAAAAAAATGTACCTTCTATGAGTGGTTGTATATTCACCATCTGATATTTCGGAATCAGAACTTGTCCATTTACGACCAAGTGATCTTGTTCGAACATGCATATTTCGATTTGGTGATGTTGGATTACTATTTTTTCTCATATTATTTCTTGTTCTTGTTTGATCTAATTAGAAATATTAGAAAATATTAAACATCACAATAATTTTTTATTTTATTAATAAAGTAAAATTTTTACCTGAATTCCGAGCTGATTCTTTTAATTCTTCAATATTAAAGAATACACATTTCTTAATAGTTTCAATTGTTGGTCCAAATGGTTCAGCTAATACATTTTTATCTTCATTAATAACTAATTGTAAAGATCGAAGTGTACTACTAATAACCTACAATATAATAATTTATAATAATTTATAATAATCTGTAATAATTTATAATTAAAATGATAATAAATTTAATAATTAAATAATTACCTTTAAGAAAGCACTATCATCATTATTAATTACTTGGGTAGATAAATTTCCTAAGAGAACTTCATAAATGTTCTTATATTTTCCTTGTAATTTAGTTCCACTACGAGAACATATATTTCCTAAACAATTAATTGCCATACGTCTAACTTCATAATTTGGATTATCATATTTGGCAATTGGAAGTAAAGTTTGTAAAATTTTTCCATGAAGCTATTATTATTTATTATTATTATAATAATAATTATTTTTATTATTATTATTATCATCGTTTATATATTATTCATTAACGAAAACATTAGAATAAAATAATAATAATAATAAAATATGTAAGAATGATTAAAAGAAAAAAAGAAAGAAAAAAAAAATAATAAAAATATGATATTATGAAAAATAAACAAACTTTTTGACAATTGGCGCCATTTTCTAACAAGACTTGACTCAAAGCTCTCAAAATATCAACAGTATAAAGATTTTGAGTAGCATTTGTAAATGCATTAAGTAAGAAATTAATCAAAAGTTCTAAAGGTGTTTTATTTCCATTTATATTTCCATTAAGGTTTACCTTAAAATTATTCAAAAAAAAAATTTTTGATATATATAAAGAGATAAAGAGATGAATGATAAACCAACATTCAAAACTATAAAAAATTATTGCTACTTTACCATACGTTTACTACAAAAAGTAAACACGATTCTACTAAATTTTGAAGCAACATGTTCTTCTCCTGGATTAATAGCATGACAACCGGATACTAATAATTCTAATAAATCGTGGTCGAATGTATTACTGGTATTTAGATTTGTTGAAATTAAAACTTCCAATATTTGATCTATATCAGGTCCATTATTATTGGTATTTATACTCCCAATTGAACTATTATTATTACTTCGCGCAGGTGAAGGATAATTGGCTCGAAGAACTTTTCGAGATATTTCATTAAAAGAGCAAGGGGTTTGAAATGAACGTGAATTTACAGGAGAAAGAGTAGTAGATGCTTGAGTAATATTTGTAGTCGTAATCATTTTTTTTTTAATCTTTTTATAAAACTTTTAATAATAATAAATTTTTTAATAATGGATCAATTTAATTTAAAATTAATTTAAATAATTAGAAATTATAAACGTAAAAAACGTTAAAACGTTTAACGAAGATTTTTTAGATTTTTTTTTTATAAAAATAAAGTTTGGAAAGAACGACAATGGAGTGCATGCTTATTTGAGATAGTAACACAACCAAGATGTATGATGACAATACGATCAACAATGTTTTGAATTAGAACAATACCTTTTTGTACCGTAAACGGAATTTTATTGCTAAAAAGAAAATATTTAATCATTATACAAACAATTTAATTTAGTCATCCTTTGTTACGTTGTTATTAACACCTTTACTAAATATTCCCATCATTTTTTTAAAAAAAAATCATTTTTGATGTTGTGGAGTCTACAATACCAAAGCAGCAGCCTCATCAAATGAAATCTGAAAGTTCTCTTGAGAGCAAAATATACCACTTCTATTATAAACAATAAATCGCCAACCGTAAGCATTATTCCATAAAATAGTTAGATTCATCTAAGTATCAATGCAAGCAAGAAATGTATCTTTGATCTCTTCTTCTATAGGAAATCACACCATAGGCATTCCATATTTGGAACCAGTGTACTAATAAATTTTTAAAAAAGTATTGTATTTTAACGCAAAAGACGTAAAAATTGATATTATTTTTTTATCATATAAGTATTATCGAGTTGTTGAAAATTATTGTTAGAGAAATATAATCACAGTCAAAATAGGAAATATATAGATATTATTAATCAAAATATTAGTCTTTTTTCCATTCATGAATTAAAATAGCATTTAACGGGAAATTAGAAAATAAATATAAATTGGTATATATATATATCTGTTTCTATCACAATTTTATTTATTTAACACAAAGATTCAAAAATGGCTACTCCCTAATAAAGGCAATATCTATATTTAAAAAAGTTATTTATGATGTAACAAATTTTTTCCTTTGTGGTAAAATTAATTAATATTTGTTTGAAATTTGAGAACAATCAAAAAAGGTAAATTTTGACAATATTTGTTTATATCTGTAAAGACTCAATGACATCATGTCACGAAGTATTAAATATCCATAATAACAGATAAAGTTATCAAACTTATTTTTTTGCCAATAACTGATAATTAGAATAATTTCAAAAGTATTGCATCACCTGGACAAAGATTTTCAAATTTTAATATCTTGTGATTCAGGAAACACTACTATCATCAAACCTTATATTTGTCATTTGCATCATCTCTTTGAAAAATAAACAATAAACATTAAATTTTTCTCCTTCTAAACACACCATGTAGTACATATAAAAAGGATACCTTATGACATGCTCTGCCATAAATTTTTTTTTAAACTATCTATGGTATATTTGTTTAAAGAAAAAAGAGCCCAAGTTTATACACTACTTGAAGAAGGATATCCTTTCCATTATGTAGCAAATAAAGAAAATATTTCACAATCAACAGTTGTAAGAATTAAGTAATGTAAAGACAAGACTGGTACATTTAATAATCAACAAAAATCTGAACATCCAAAACTCATAACTGGCCATATTGAATGAAATGTTGTGCAACTGATAACAACAGGTGAGTGTACAAATGCAGTTACAATTTAAAAAAAATTAAAAACTGTTGATCAAATTGATGTTATCTATTAGTTTAATACATATATCTTTTGAAGTTTCATTTCAAATTTTAGATACATGTTTTCATAATGAATCTTTATCTCAAATTTCTACATTTAATAACCTAAGATAATAATCAACATCATTCCAAAGATGTTCAATTGGATTAAGGTCAGGTGACTACAGTGATCAACTTAAAATATTGATTTTATTTTTCTCAAATTATTGCGTCATACATTTTGCCATATGTTTAAGATTATTATCTTGCTAAAAGATAATATTTATTACCTTCAATTTATAATATTCTATATGTGTTGCCCAAATTTCAAATCATTTGGGATTTGGAATGTCAAAATCCCAAATTACTAGTATTTGGGATTTGGGATTTGGGATTTCAGCAAAAAATACTAATCATAATTTGGGATTTGGAATTTGAGATTTCGGCATTTGAGATTTCGGCATTTGGATTTTGAATTTGGATGGCAGGTATATAATATTCTAAGGTCTCTATATAGTCTTCCCTTAGGATTTTGCAATAAAGTCTGTCAATCTTACATAGGTATTCTATCTCTTCAGAAGTAAAACATCACTATACAAAAATACTTCCACCTCCAAATTTAACTATAGACTTAACAAGTCTATTGTTAAGACTTTTTCTTTCTCTTTTTCAACAATACTGATGTCTATCTAAATTAAATATTTAAAACTTGAACTCATCAAACTAAATTACTTATTTCCAATTCTCAACAGTTCAATGTTTATATTTTTTCATAAAAACGAGACATTTTTGATAATGGATTTTGAAAAGTAGAGGTTTCTTACATTTAACTCTTACTACTATTCTATTTTTTTTTAGTGTTCTATAAATAGTATTAACATTAACATTAATATTTTCATTTATTTTTAATGATTTTTATAGTACAATGGCTATCGATACTTTATTAGTTATGATTTAGTATATAAGGATTTGTTTATTTCTCTTATATAAAATCTGTTTTTGTCTTTGGTCTTCTTTATTTTAACTTGTCCTGTTTCTTTATACTTTTTTTTTAATCATAAAATTGAGATATAATAAATAATTTCTAATCTTTCAGTTATTTTTCTTAAGATAAATCTTGTTTAGAGTAAAGCAATCACATGTTGTTATTGTTCAAAGGTTAATTGTATTATTTATAATAAAACAAGTAGATTTTTATGGGTGAATTGAAAGAATATAATGTAAGAAAGATTTTTTCTTATTTGAATTTTTGATAATTATTATTAAAAAAAAAAACTTTACTTAAAAGTTTTTCATTAAAAAAAATATCAAAATAAATGCACCATGTTTTTTTTATTATTGTTAATCAATTAGTTAATCATTATTTAAATCAGGTAATAATGATTTACAGTATATAATTTGAAACTATAGTTTATTAAAAAATATTTTTTATAGATAAAATATAATAAAAAATTTAAATACTTTATTAAAATTAATTAATTTTATAGTGATATATTTACATATTTTAAAAGCTACTGTATATAAATTTTTAGTATATATATTACATTTTTGAATATTATAAATATTTATTAGTTATTATATATATATTAAACATTACGAATATTTATTAGTTACTATATTTTTACATAATAAAGAATACTTAATTTATTATATTTTTTTACATAATAAAGATTTTATGAAATATTGCAAAAAATAACAATTAATTTAAAAGTGATTAAAAAAAACTAAAAAACTAATCTAATTTAAATATTTGAAAAAAATAGAAAATAAAATTTATTGAAAATTTTTGAAAATTTTGAATTGATACTAATAAAAAAAAAAAGAAAAAAAATACTAGAAACAATATTGAATAAACTGATTCAATCCTTGTACACTATTTCTAAGTAAGTATATTAGTATCCAAAAGTATCTTATTTCTAAACAGCAAAATTATAAATAACTTATTATAACAATTATTTGAAACTCTAAAAAACTACAGAAAAGGTAAAGAACAGTAAAGTTATAAACATAACTTGCTAAACTATTATCTGTTATACAGAAAAAACTATGAAAAAGACAAAGCATCATAGTATAAAAGTTGTGTTAATCAAGAAAGGAAATGTTGAAAACTTTTCTTATAAGAACTCTATCTTAATCTATCAATTTAACATAACCCAAGTAATTCAAGAAGTTTTATTGAAGTTTTGGAAACACAACATCAAATGAAAATTTTATGAATAACAATAATATTTAACCTTGTTAAAAACCAACATAATTATTTGAGAAATAAATAAATTTTTGAAAATTTCCAAAAATTTTTATTCTAAAATTTTATGAATAATAATTTTTGAAAGAGTTCAAAATAAGATCATTTAGTATAATCATTTAGTAGTAAATAAACAAGATCATTTTGTGTTACATAATAAAAAACTTTCACAAATTTTATGTAAAAATCTTCTGGAAATTTTTATTTCAAAAATTTTTAAAAAAATTGTACAAATTTTCACAAATTTTCAAAGTAAAACTTTTCAGAAATTTTTATCTCTTAAAATTTCCTGATGATATTCTTAACTTTAATTTCAACATTCTCTTTTTTAAGTTCAGCAATCTGGTAAACAAGATCAGAATTCAATTTTCTCAATGTCTTAATTATGAATTGGGTATTTTATATTATTTTATATAAGATGTGAATATATTCAAAAGGTTGAATTAATAAAATCATGTGATAAAAACCATTTCCTTGATATACCTGCTACCCAAATTCAAAATCCAAATGCTGAAATCCCAAATGCCGAAATCCCAAATCCCAAATCCCAAATTATGATTAGTAT